TATTTCCTGATGAAGCAGATGAACCCCACGTGAAGCAGAAGCCAACGAGACGGAAACCAGTGCGGAAGAAGATACGTCCCGTAAAATTAAGAGACTTTGTTGAATTGTAATTTTGTGTTTGTAATTCTGTACATTTAATTAAGTTATTGTTAATTGTTATTGGTTTAATGTAGGTGGCTATTGTTCGGGACGAACAATACTAAGGAGGGGCAGTGTTGCGTCAGCGAGGTCACGTGACTAGTATCACGCCACTTCCTTCTCGAACCTTCGTGAATTGTCGGGAGACTACTAGATTGGGGGTAGCCTGGTATATGTATAAGATGGTCACAACATGACGGAACAATGTGTAATTGAATGAGTAAGAATATTGTTGAGCACGTGAGACGTTCATGGTGAATTAAAGCGTTTGTAATAGCGCGACTGTTGAAATTAAGTGTATCGGAAAGTTGTATTCAGAAAGAATAAACCAGTTTTATTTAAGAAAGGACTTGTGTCGCTAAAGTTTCGTCGGAACAAATTTACGGAAAATTAACTAACGAACGGAGACATAACAGTATATATACATATATATTATTCATACCTTCGGTGTATAGGACGCAAGCAGATTTTGACACCAAATTTTGGGGTAAAAAAGTGCATCTTATACACCGAAAAATACGGTAATGACATAAAAAACATAACTAAAGGTGCAATTTAAAATAATTAAAATGTAGCTTAAGACAAGTAAGTCATGAATAAGTAAAGGAAATAATAAAGTGATCTGTATTTGGTAGTATTGGAATTATTTTGTGCAGTGTCGTACCGATGTTTGATGGCATCCCGAGCGTCATCGTTCGTATTGGTATCGTAGCATTCATTAGTGGTCACAATACGTAGAGGGATTCTTACCATGCTTCTTGCCAGCAAGCAAACTGTCCCTTATCTACGTCACCGGTAATTATCGACGGATTACCACTCGACTTCTCTTTACAGGACACCACCAGCTTCATCCGTAGATACAAGCCCCAAGCCCGCGTATCTCATGAACACGCCCGTCATCTCCGCAAGGGAGGTATACTTCTCCAGCCCGGGAACCCGAAGACTTCCGATACTTATGCTGCCCTTGGTCTTCAAACCCACCAGCCACCTTCCAACCCCCCAAAAGTAACGCCAGTCTCACACAGTTTTTCTCAGAAAAGTTCACCTGTCCTTTACCACAGAAGAAATCCATTAAGCTCTCGAAATTTCCACCAACTCAACTATCCATGCAGTCTACCGAATCACATCCAAGAAACAGGTTCACCCATTCACTTCATCAAAGTTGTCACGACTTCTCAACCGACAGCAGACTTCATCCTCACCTTTTTCTTAAACTACTCGCGTATTACTAATTTTATGTAACACATTTTTTCATAACAGTAGGTAATTTGCATAACTAACAATGTATTATAAACCTTTAATGTTGGTTCCAAAAAATACGGACCATCACATTCAGGAGGAGATATTGTTTTAAATTGATGTAACTGTCATTTGTAAGTTACTTTTTCGTTTTACACATTTATTTTGGTAAATAATACTTCAAGTAACCGAGAAAACGTTCTTCTCAGTGATCAGTAAAAGACAAAAAAGAAAATCGTTAACGAAGCTAGAAGATGAAAGGATAATATTAAATTTTGAGCGCTGTTCTTTTGCGCATGCGTACTACCTAAAAACATCATAGTCCAAGAGAGCACGAGCATAGTAACGCAACGTGATATCGAGGAGTATTAAATGTGAGTTTTAGTGGTTGATTTTATGTACATAATATATATATATGCTAATGGTAAAAAATATGAGTTTTTAGAGATCTTGCATCATGCACGAAGAATCTCTAGAAGACTGGGTGGTTGAAATGTTTTTATATTAAATATATTATAAGTTTTTGAATTTGTATTGGATTCGTAATGTCTATCAGTCACACGTTGCTAGGCCTAATACATACTCTGCAGCGTGCTCCTGATCTAGGCCTAGTATACGTAAATATAATAGTACTGTCTGTTGTCTGTCCATGTAACTACTTCGAAGGGTGTGGGTGGATTTTCACCAAAATTGGTATGGAGGTTCATTAGGTGCTTGCGGGGGTGCATACAGATGTTCAGTTTTGTGTTTTAAGGTTTTTATGGGCATTTTTTACCATTACTACTCCCCCTCCTGTGGATGGATCTTCACCAAATTTGGTATGGACTGAGGTTCATTGGGTCAATGGGGAGATACATA